CTCACCGTGACACCCACGTTAATGGGCTCCTTCCCTGCCACCAGCTGGCAGATGGCTTCATACGCCTCCTCTTTGCTCTTGTCCTTAAATCTCTTGGGGGCCAGCTCCTCCAGCGCCTTCTTGAACTCCTCGTAGTTGATGACGCGGGCTGTCTTCCCTCTGCAAGTACAAAAACCGGGCTGCCATCAGCGCGTCTTCGGATCGAGCCTTGGAACGGGGCTGCAGCGGAATGAGCTGCATCAGGGAGACCCCAGCTTTGTCCCTCACCAGCCTCGGGCCCCCCGCCCATCTCCAAAACGCAGCCCTGGCCAGGGCAATCCTGGCTGAATGGGTCAGGCTGGGCACAGCTGAGCTCTAGGAGTTTTTCAGCCAAAAATCTCACCCCTGAGTGGAAGCGGGACTTGGATACTGGTGGCATCCATTCCCACTGCTCCCAGCCTGCCTGCGGTGCCCAGCACCCTCTTTCCTCTGGCAGGCATCAGTCCTTCTCTGGTCCAATTCGGAAGGACACATGCAGAGCATCTCTCCCACAAGCGCCCAGTCCTCGTCCCCGAGGCAGCACAGCAACCCACCTTCCTATGTGCCGAAAACCTCCCGGTGCTCAGACCCCCCTGGCCCCACCAGGAAACAAGGGGATGCCCGGGCAGAGGGCAGGGAGGGAGCAAGTTCTCCACCCATCCTTGCTCCCGCAGCCTGGTGTGGAGCATCGGGCGTCAGTGTGGCCTGGGGGACCCCAAAAGCAGCCCCAGGTGCCTTTAGGCTCTTCAGCCGCCCCTGTGACCTCCAAGGAGCAGAGTCCTCCCCAAGCTCAGGGGTGCGCTGGCCAGGCGCCGGGATGGGCCATGCCACCACGCACGGGACACCCCTGAGCACCCTCCTCTGCTCCCTGCGGCACCTTCTTGCTAGACGGGAACCTGGCAGAACCAGCCAGGCCCACCCCGATGCCGGGAGCAGGGACACAGCCTCTGCCCCAAAACCTGAGCTTCCCACCCCCTAAATGTGGATTAATTTATTAGCAAAAGCAGCCAGGCACGCTTCCCTGAAGGCAGGAGGCTGCAGGGCAGCACCCGCTGCTCCACGCCGAGGGTGAGATGGGAACGGGCATGCAGCTGGGACACCAACACCTCCCCGGGGACCACCGCACCTGGGCACCCACCATCCTGCCCGTGCCGCAGGGGCATCCCCAACCTCCAGCCGGCCGGAAGCCCCGAGAAACCAATTCACTTACTTCACCTTGGAGAAGACAATGTCCACATCGGTGCTGGTGACACTTTTGCCGTCAGTGACTTTGCAGTCTTTGCACAGCTTGGCCCAGTTCTTCCCGTTCATTTCTTGCCCCGTAGCCTTAGTGTCGCCGTAGATGGCGAATTTGCGGAAGCTCTCTTCCAGGGACGCCATCTCAGCGCTCCCGGCCATGGGGCTGCAGGATGGGGGGCAGAGGGGCCCGTTACTGCCCAGGTTCTGCTGCCTGTGCCGGCAGAGCTCAGCCGCTCTGCTCCCAGGTCCACGAGGGCAGGAGGAAGAGGAGGGCTGGTGAGGGCGCAGGGCCTGCGGCAGGACGGGGTG